TGTATTAATAAATGATATTTTTTTCCTAAATTATTTTTTAGAAGAGCAAAAATCTCCCTCCGCCAACAGATTACTAATGGAGAGAGGTTTTTGCTCATATGAAAAAGTAGTTTATGAAAAGAATATTTTATTATTAATATAAAGTGTCCAACGCTTTTCAAAGAAAAGTACATAAACAAAAATGTACTTTAATATAATAATTCAATTACAAAATCTAATTATTGAGCTTGGTGCAAACTTTTTTTAGTCAATTTTAAACTTTTTACTTTAAAACATAATTTCACTCGAGTTTTAAGGGTTTGTAAATAAATTTTAAAATTCTATGAGTCCAAAATGTAATATTGCTCCTCTTAAGGGACCTCAATAACATTTTCTTTTCAATCATATTGTATCTCGACATCTTTATTCAATGATCAAATGCTTCTTATAGATTCTTCAAAATATATAATAATTCTAAATAAACTAACTTTGACGCAAGTCAATATGTGTATACGCATATATAGGCAAATTTAATAATAAAAAAACTTCTAAAGAATCTTTTGTACTTTTTAATGAGGATTCAAATTCAGGACTTAATTGTAATGACTGAGGAATTAGGTGTCGTCGCCCAGGAATTTTAACGAAATTATAAACTATGATAACATAATTTAAATATATTTTTATTGATTTTGTAACAAAATGTATTGAAGGTTTAGCAGTAGTTTGCTAAATGCTTTGATAATCCAGGTTCGAATCATCTTTTTGTCCAGTGGAACATTTTATGTTATTTTTGCCCAGCCTCACGGAATTACGAAATGCCATTAAAAACATAAAAGAGAGAGTGAATCAGAAGCCCAACGAAAAACTCACGCATCAACTTTTATCCTCTCCTCCCTCATTTTCGGGATTGTTCCAGAGCCAAGGGGAGACAGCTCGGTCCTTCCTCCTCCATTTCTGATCGTCTGTAGCGGGCAATATTGGGAGTGCTAGCCGCCGCCGCCGCTGTGGGCTTCGTTAGCTCGCAATTCCTTCTTCCTCTGTTTCGGCGTCGCTCAATTTCCTTCTTCCTCTCACAGATCGGCATCGTTATTGTCTTAGGTGAGTGGAAGAGCTCAATTCCTTCTTTCCATTCCTCCTTGGTGAGTTCAAACTCCATCTTTTTCCCTCCCATGCTTCGAGTCTATGTGATTGTATTTGTTAAATGGGCTGCTGTAACAGGGGGAAAAACTGATTCTCTCTCATTGTTCTTGCTTGATGCGTAAACAGGAGAGTAGTTTGGACCAGGAAAACTGATATTTAAGTTTGAAGAGCATGAATTTTGATAGATAATTCCACTATAATTGTTCTGGGTTGTTGCGAGACATAGAAGATTAGATTAGATTTGGTTTTGTTGAGTTTAAATTGATTTTAATGGCAAATAGAATTTGAGAAGCTTGATAAATTTAAATATTGATGTTTTGAAATTGTTGGGCATGAGATTTTAGGATTAAAGACTTGATAGAATGGTTTACAAATTTGATGTACATAAGGTGTTTGTTGAAATGATTGATAGAAGAATTTTAACCTATCGCGGCAAAGGAATGTGAGAAATATATTATTGTTGACAAAATTATTATAATAGACAATTATTCGGTTGGAGATGAAGTTAAGAAATTTTAGGAAAATATATTTGGTTAATAATTTTATGTTAGAGTTTGTTTATTCTTATGTTGACTTTTAAGTACATATGAAGTATCTAATAAAATGTTTGGGGAAGGAGTTTTATGAAAATTGAATGTACATGAGTAATAATACTGATTAAATTATAGTTGTTTATTTTTTATAGAAAGGCTTGGAAACTTTGAATGATATTCACATATGTGTTTGTTGGAAATTTATTGATTTAAACTTATTATCGCATTTTGTTTGTGAAAAGTTGATGTTGAGATTTTCTTTTCTAATTCTCAAAATTTGTTTGGATTGAAGAATTTGAATTTTAAAAGTGTTAAAAGAAGTAACAATAATGTCTCTTTTGGGCATTATGGAATTAGGGCACATGCAATATCACAAAAGTGGTTAATTGGGAGTAAGTTGTATCTTTGAGAATGTCTCAGGTAAATGAATAGCGTCCTAAATGACTTATTAGTAAATTTATGTTTTTCACAATAATGTTTAAGTACAATGATGACTATTTATATCGTTATATTCTAAATTTCGTTATCAACTATCATGAATAAAAATATTTTTATTGTATAAAGTTTTATATGAAGAGTTAGAATTATTTTATGATTGGGCATCTACCATTATTTAATGGCAATGTTTGATTTTGCGGTTTAAGGAATAATTTATTATTATGACTAATGCATGCTTGATTTAAAGTGTGTGACCGAAGCAGAACGCTGGTTGTTAACGGCAGCTCAGTTAACTCTTGGCACATCATGATATACCTAGCTAACAAGGTGTTTGTAGGAGGTGTTAGCTCCATGCGCAGATTAACACACGTGAAAGGGAGGGATGGATATTCGTGAGTATTGTACTTACGCCTGTTTCGTGACTTCCAACCGCACTTAACTGATTGTTTACCCTCATGGACTGTATGTTCACACTTGTTTGTTATTTACCTTCGTGGATTTGTTATTCATTTTGATAAAGTCCTGCTAAAGAATACTTTGAAATTAATTTTTTTAAAAATGAATCTAATTAGACAAGTTAATTTTCATAAATGGATTTCTTTATGACAAGAGAGTTGCATTTCTTAACTGTTTAATATAAGCCTAATAGTTTAGAAAGTGAAATTTGATCGTTGTATTGTTATCATATGAGGATGTTTTTTGGATCAAATGCTTAAATGAAAATATTTGGTTTGAGTTATACACTACTTTTTTAAATGATTATTTTGGTTAAATTCATACTTAATCTATTTATATTTCCTTCTTTTATCATTTTTAATTTTTTTTGAAATGTTATTCACTGAAAAATAATTTGGCCTCAAATAATAGTTAGACTTGTATCATCTATTGATCATTGGAAACTTTATTGCTAGATTGAAGTAAAAAAAATTTTTTGGACAAATATCAACTTGATCTAAATGTGAACTTAAGTATTATTTTGTAATCTACTACATGCTCTTCATTGATTATAGATAGAATCTTGACCTGTTACATATGTTGATTGTTATTTGTCAAGGAGAGGAGCTCCTTGTTGTTGAATCGTTATAAATTTGTTGTTGCAGAAATTTTTAGAAGGTTTTGTAGAATTTTTAAACAGAGTATATGATTCTTTTGCGTAGCAAAAAGCATGGTAAAAATTTCTAATTTTATACTCTCTTTGTTCAAAAATGTAAGGTATTTTTTAAAGAGTTGGATGATAAAAAAATGTAAGACATTTTTAGTCTTTTGAGGTGTGATTATTTACTTTTTTTTCTTCCAAAAATATCCCTATTGATGAATAACTTTATATTTATTGTAGGATGTTTAATAGAGGTAAATGTAAAAAGAAATAATTAGTTTAAAAATAGGTAATTACTTTATTAGGGGTGAGATTCGGTTAAAAATATTTTATATTTTTTAACTGGGAGAGTAAGTAACAAATTCAAAGTATTAAATTAAAAGTTTCTTGAATTAAGGCTTACAAGATATAAGTTTTATACGCATATTCTGTGCCAGTCACATTTTATTTTTGGGAGTGACATTGATAGATATATTGCTAGTATAATTTATACTGGACCACCATTCCTTCTTATTACGTTTGCACTAGAATTAATAAAAATATATTTAAAATATCTTATCATAAAATTTAATTTTACTTTAATTTTTAGATCATTACACTTTTTTTTTGGCCAGTGGATCGTTACACTTGAGGGCAACATTGTTCTAATAATTAATTCAGGATATATTGCATCTCATGAAATAGTTGAGAGATAAAAATATTTTTTAATCATTTTTTCATGATCAAGCAAACTTCACATACATGATACAAATAACAAAGGGGAAATCACATTATATAGGAAAATAGATACAATGGTAAATGCAAAAGACAACCAATGTAATTATTACAAAAGTTTAAACTTTCGTGAGTTGTCCCATGGTGGTGATGTCAAATTGGTTCACAAAATAAGATTCAGGCCTCTCAAGTTGCAAATGGACCTGTTTCATGGTTAGATGATGATGTGGACTTTCATTCAAGCAAACAAGTGTTATTTTTGCAATTAACATTACTTCCTCAAGAACCAAGTTTGAGGGTGGAAGAAGCTATGGAGCCAACACATCTTTAAATGAGAAGTCATAGAATGTTGGAATCTTTCTTAGAGATTCAATGGGCTCCCTTGGATGTTTTCCTACAAGGATTTCTAATGTGAGAACTCCAAAACTATAATCATCACATTTCTCATTTACTTGCATTGTGAAAGCAATCTTTGCACCATGCATGTTAAAATATAAGGACATGAAATATATTACAATGCTCAAAATATAATAACGAATTAAAGTTGTTTGGCTGTAAAGTAAAGGACCTTACTTGGAACAGCATAGCCTAAGGTTCCAGTAAATGAGGTCATATTGTCTGAGTCAACATTTAGAAACTTAGCTATTCTAAAGTCAATGATGTGTGCTTCTTGATATTCTAAATCTAACAAAACATTTTTGCTTGATATGTCACGATGAATTATAGGGCATGAGATGTTGTGATGTATATGGAATAATGCATCAATCACACCTTTAACAACATTCACTCTCTTATTCCAACCAAATGTTGTTGCTTGCTTATCATTTTTAAAAATTTTATCCAAGCTACAACCTTCTACGAACTCATAAACTAGAAATGAGAGGCATGGATTAAAAAAAAAATTCTAGTAACTTCACTATGTTATGATGCTTGATTTCTGTCAATGCTTCAACTTCATTTGAGAGTGCTTTAAAATGGGAAGGATTTGTATTACAACTAGGATGTAGCTTCTTCACAGCGAAAAATTGACCTTCAAGCAACTTAGCCTTATAAACACTTCCTTGTGTTCCCATCCTAATGAGATACTTCTTGTTAAAATCCTATATAACTTCAATAACTTTTTCATACAAGATTTTTCCATCAAAGCAAGACATGGAGAAAATGTTTAAACTTAGTTCTTCCTGCTCTTGACTTTCATTCTTCCTTGAGTTTTGAATCAAAACATAAGAAATTGCTCTCACTACTATAACTAGAGGCACAAAACAAAGAAGTACTAACATTGATAGTTTCACATTTTTGTTCATACGACCATGTGGTATGTTAATGCCATTTCTATTGCAAGCCTCTAAAGTAGTGACATTACCACATAAACCTCTATTATTCCTCACTTCTTGAAATGTAATATTTCGAAAGGCAAGAATGTTTGGAAGAGGTCCCTCTAAATGGTTGTATGATATGTCCACAGATGTCAAGCTTGTCGTGTCATCAAAATTGGATGGAATTATGTCAGAGAGATTATTATTTGACAGGTTCAAATATTCCAACATCATTAATCTTCCAAGGGTTGTTGGTATTGTTCCCCTTAACATATTTGCACTAAGGTCAAGTTCTTGCAAAGCTTTTAAGAGACCAAATTCTAGGGGAATACTTCCCTCTAACTTATTTTTGCTCAAGTTCAATAGCCATAACTTATTTAGTCCTCCAAGCTCTTTGGGGATTGATCCAACGAAATAATTTTCCGCCAACTCCAATTCTTCAAGTTCATTCAATGATCCTATTTTTGGAGGAATATTGCCAGAAAATTGATTATTGCTTAAAGAAAGTCTTGTCAGTGAGATCATCTTTTCCAATTCTTTTGTAATTTCTCCTGTCAAGTGATTTGAAGAGACATTGAGTTTTCCAAGATTGATTGCCTCTCTAATTTCTGCAAGTATACTTCCAGAAAGATTGTTATTGGAAATCTTGAGTGCTGTGAGATTATGACATTTCCCCCACAAAGGTGCAATGTGGCCATAAAATTTATTGCCGCTCAAATTGATGTATTTCAAATTTGGGTACGCCCTAAAATCACTTGTTAGATTTCCAGCAAGTTGGTTTATTATCAAGTCTAAGTCTGATGAGGCTAGAGCAATTTTTCAAGGTTGTTGGAACAGGACCTATGAATTTGTTTGCAACTGTAGTGAAATACTCAAGTGACCCACCAAGGCAAATTTGCTGTGGCAAATTGCTGGTAAAGTCATTTACACTAAGTTGTAAATCATTCAACTCGGTAAGGTTATTCATCTCTAATGGAATGCTCCCATTAAGTTTGTTTATGTTCAAATTTAGGATCTTGAGCTTTGTTAGATTTCCTATGGTAGTCGGAATAGGTCCATGAAGAAAGTTATTTGCAAGGTTGATTTTTTCTATGCTGGCCATCTCTCCTATAGAGTTTGGAATTGATCCCAAAGTCTGTTGGTCCACAAATATTTTTTTTTGGTAGCCCACGGGGTTCACCGAAGCTTTGCCTCGACTACATCCAGATCCGCCCACATCGTGCAGTTGACATGTTGGTCCACAAATTTAATATGTTGAGATTTGTAAAGTTTCCAATGAAGGGTGGTATAGGCCCATGCAAGTTATTATCAAACAAATCCAATTTAATATGGTGGAATTGATCCCCAAAGTCTGTTGGTCCACAAATCATGTTTTTATTTTAATAATAATTTATTTTATATTAATTAATTCTTGTTATGAATTTTTTTTTAAATGATTTTTGAACGTGATTCTCCGCTTACTTTGTCAACATCCCTAAATTTTTCCAACATCCTTTCGTTTTTTTTTTTTTTCCCCGAGTAACTAAATTCAACTCCGTGTCCGTGTTTCCTAGACCCTAAAAGCACGCTGCAGCTTTGTTTACTTTTCAAAACCCATTTGTTACTCCAAAACTAATGGTACAATCAGGTCTTCAAAAAAATTTTTTTTTCTCTCCAAATATGCGCTCACCCCTTCAAATTTTTTATTCATATGGAAGATATTTTTGCCCATTAACAATACTTCATTATTTAACAAAGGTTTAATAAATTTGATGCTTGGTTATATTTCAACCTCGGAGCAAACTGGATTGAAAAGCAATGGTGCATGGGTATTTTTACATATTCTCTGTCAATAAAATTCTCACATTAATAGTAGAATTAATCTCATAACCTTGTGGGTTAAGTGATAAATTCTTACCAACTAAATCAATCTTTATTAATAATTTAAATTTTATTTTATTAATAATAAAAAATTTGAGTATTCAAGCTAACTTGTCAAATTTGACACAAATTATCGGTTCTAACCTTTTCTAATATGTTAAAATAACTTGATATTAATTATGAAGTTTTAAAAGTAAAACCTAACGAATTGAAAAATGTTAACATATTTTATAAAGTTAATGGGCATTTGCTCTCCATTGTTTACTTAATGATACCAAAAGCTTTTAGAAAACAAGTTTTTAATTATTTTTATAAGTTTTATTTCTTTCTTTCTTTTCTTTTGTTTCTTTTTATGATGAACGTTAGCAGACATCAAACAAATTTAGCATAATGAGTAAGGATGGCTTTATAAAAAAAAAAAATAGGTATCCATGCATCATTTAAGGATATTAGATGCTCGTAGCTAAAAAAGTTTTAATATTTTTTTTCCTGTAATCCTATAAACAATTCCAATTCTTTGCAAAAAGCTCCTCATTAAGTTTTCGTTTTTGACCTGTGCATCGGTAACTTCTAGCCCTTGATTCCTGTTTTTTTTCCCCCACTCTGAGTGCCTTCTGTATTCTTTAAATTTTATGTAACTAATGTGATTTAAATCCATTTTTGACTTATTAGATCGAAGTTCATACTCCATTCATGATTTAAATGAGTTATATTTCAATAAGTTAATTAATTATATTTAAAATATATATATTTGTTATGTTTATCCTCATTTAATAGGATTTCTCAATTAAAAAAATCAATAATTAATTATACTTTTAATTAAAGGTATTTGTAGAAAAAATTTTGCATCTTAAAAAATTTTATGCTTTATATTTTTTTGATATGGTACTTTAAAGAAAATTATAATATTAAATTCAAAAAAATTATATTAGATTAGATTATTGTAATGTATAGAGACCAACATAATTTATTAACCAAAAGGACAATGATGCATAGGATGCTTACTTTGGGAAGGATCAAATTCGAAGATCACTCAGGTAAATTATTTGTAGATAATGACTAATAATAAATTTCATTTAAAAAAATAAATTATATTTTTATTTCAATAATAATCTCATTTTATATGATCTTTTTGAATGATTTCACAAGTGATTCTCCTCTTACATTTTCAACATCCTTTAATGTTTCTAATGTCACGTCGCTGCGGAAGTTCCTCTTCGCGCAAATTCCAAAAGCTAGACAGGCGCTACTTTTTTTGAAGGAAGTGACTTTATCCATTGGACTTAGGAAAAAGGGGCAATATTAATTAAATACTCGTGTAGAATATATCATCTCCAAAGGACAGACACTAATGACCTTATTTTGATTACGTATTTATTAACATATCTAATTAAATTATTTTATGAAAAAAATTTATATGCTAAATCTTATTCATTAAAATGCTTGTTTTTAATTAAATAAAACATGAAAATATTATATATATTATTTATTTTATAATAAATATTATTATTATTATTAACATGTTAAAATTTAATTATCTTGACTTGATGACTAGATAAAAGTATACTAAATATATAAGATTAAGTACTTAAGTGTTTTTCAATACAAATATCCGATCCAGAAGAGACATTGGAATATTGGGACAGAGCGAAAGTAATATTCTGTAAATATCTTATCTCTACCCCTTACCACACAGACACCATATTAATCATGAATATTTAGAAAAATGATAGAGAGATCTTAAAAGGATCATTTAATTTAATCTAGACTTTAAGTGTTAAATTTTAAAAATTTATAAGTTTGGTTTTCAATTTTATAACTCTGTTATGATAAATTTATAACTTATTTTTTAAAATTTTAACATAATAAAGAATAAATAAATTTGTTTTCTCAGATAAAATTTAAAATATAAGTTATAAAATTTATCACAACAAAATCACAAAATTAAAATCAAACTTGCAAATTTCTATAATTTGGCATGAAAAGGACCTCTCAGTCATTTTTTTAAAATATTTTACTTAATGCTACACGAATCTTAAAATTTTGTTCTCATATTTTCTCTTAATTTCTCAACTTTAGCATTTTCTACCTTGTGGGTAGGATCGAAAGAGAACATCTCGGATATGTTTAATTGGTGGGAGGGGGAAAAGAGAAAAAATTTTAAAAATTTAATATCTTTGTTTTAGATTTAAAATTTAAAAAATTCTTTATTTAAATAGTATAAAAATTTTAGAAGAAGGAAAATTTTAAAAATTTAATATTTGTGTTTTAGAATTAAAATTTATGATAGACGAGCTGAGATTTAAAATAAAAATAAAATATTATGAGTTATAAATTTATTTTTATTTTTTAATTGATAAAAACTGAGAATAATGGATGAAAGAAATATTTGAGTTATGTTCATTTTTTAAAATGAACGATGGAGATCAATTTGAGATAAATTGAAGAACCTAGATTAGCCTTTTAGGCTGCATGCCCATCATGTTGATAAGCATCGACTGCGAACGTGTTGACGAGAGTGTTGTCTCTTTCTATGAATATGTGACGATATCACTATTCAAATTCAACGGTTTGCACAGTGATGTAATTATAGAAGCTTATCATATCAATGTTATGCCCTCAAATTAAAGGAACTTATATGTGGACTAGACAACCCGGGATGATTTTCCCCACACCACATATCTCTCTTATTTGAGCACAATCTTCACAATTAAGTTATAAATACTGTTATTTATTTAGCTTATAAAACATAGAACTGTTTTTTTTAGTGCTTCTATAAATATTTTTGTTTGGGTCATATCAATGATCCGAATGCCTTTTCTTGTTGATATAAATTTTCAGAATGATCTGAATCATCAAACAAAAGTTGAAAAGAAATATTCTATTTAGAAATTGAAAATTTGGTTACCTTAATATGAAATTTATACATGTCATGCTTCAAAAATAAAGGATAACTGATGTGAGGTGTGAATTATATTACACATCCTGTAACCTTGAATTAAGAAATCTTTTCATTTTAAAATACAGTGAATTTGTACTGAAAATTATACATACTTAGTAACACAATATTAGAATAGAAAAATTTCAATATTTTTGTAAAAAATTTGACAAAATCTCTCCTACAAATAGGATCTCTTGAAAATTTTATAACACAATATTTTACATAAAGTATAGTGTCAATCGAGAGCTTAACTCTTTCTAGCCAGTAGACAACACATGTAACAAAATATAAACCTAGCTATAGGCTACATAAAGCATCTAACCTTACTTCCAAAATAAAATACATGAATTTGAATATTTACATTAAAAGGAGATACTGCTAAGCAAAATTTCAACCAAATAGTTGTATGCTCTACAAAGGTTAGCAATGGGATTAACATTAGCTAATTAATTTGAACCCAAAATAAATTTTTAATGAATAACATCTCAATAATAAATATTTAAATATGTATAAAAGGAAAAGTTTAAAATAATTATGTGTGTCAGAGATGACAATTTTCACACAAAATATTTAATAAACTTTAGCATAAAAGGACTTTATGTAACTTCAAATAAATCTTGATTCATTTTATATCATATCAAATGTCATTATCATTTAATTTTAATAAAGCAAATAACTATATTAAATATTTATAAATATGTTACTAATCAAAACAAAAAAAAATAGATTCATCAAATAATAAAAACTCATAATTATAAAAACTTATCAGAATAATTAATAAACATAGATACACAATCCACAAGAATAAATAATCAAACATGATTTATATTACGAAAATAAATATAAATATACAGTCTACGAAGGTAATATTAACCAAACATGATCTAAGATATGAAAACAAATGCGGACATAAAATCTATAACAATAATATTAACTAAATGTAACTCAAAATTATAAAATCAAACATGAGTATTAGACTCACGAACAGTAAAAAAACAAGGGATGAGGGTGAGTTCTTGGTTCAGAGCATTACTCTATCCCTCCCTCTCTCC